GGGCCCCATTTTGCGTGGCAGGCGCAACACTTTTTGACTTGGCGTGCAGATTTCGTGGCAGGGGCAGCATTTGGTGCGCGCGCTTTGGGGCCCCCAGTTTGCGCGGCAGGCGCGTGCCTTGGCGCGCAGGTTTCGTGGCAGGGGCATTTGGTGAGCACGGGTCTACGATTGCGTGGCAGGGGCAGCACTTGGTGCTTTGTCAAGGGACTTGGTGTTACACATTGCACCGCGCGTGCTTCGGGGCTCTTTTTTTTGCGTGGCAGGCGCAGTGCGGATTTCGTAGCAGGGGCGGCGTTTGGCTCTCTAAAGGTACTTGGTGTTACACTGCGCGGGGCTCGCAACAGAAAGTAACGATGTACACTTGCTAGCTGTTCACTCTCTCTCATCTCAGCTCTCACTCATCTCACTCACACTCGTGCCACTCACACTCATCTCAACTCTCAGTCATCTCACTCCCATTGTACATGGAGGCAATAGAGGTTGAATTATTGTTCTTTCGCATCCAGCTGATCTTGACATGAGATGGCTGGGGGTCGACACAAACAAGCGACGAGAAAGGGCTCGCAGCAGCAGCTTTTTCTTTCCTTCGTTTTTTCCTTCTTGTTTTCGTTTTTTCGCCCCGCACTGCTAATCCCTTCCCCCTATTAGTAAATACGCCCCCCCCCCCTATTATAAATAAATCCACCCAACAATATGTTGTTTGTTTTTCTTCGGGTTTTTGGGGATTGGTTTTTCTGCTTTTCCAACAATGTGATGGTTCACATACGATTTGGAGGAAATGGATTGAATTGTAACGTCCGCGAGTAAGCGGTTTAATAAGGAAATTTGTTGTATCATTCTATTTGTTTTTCAATTTACTGGTTGTTTGTTTGCAGCCAGGCAGGTTAATTAGCCAGCATGTACGGGAGAGAGACAGTCGCAGCTAGACACTACCGCGGGGAAGCCGGCTTTTGGGAAAGCAACCTTTTAAGGAATTCATCTTTTGAGGAACCAACCTTTTTAAAAGTGGGGCTGGAAGCTTGTTAAAAGTGCCCCCTAATAAGGGTTCCAAGACTTTAGTATTGGCTTAGTCTTGGCGCAATGGAAAATCAATTCTGCGGAGTGGAAATCTGGTCCCGGGTTCCGGATTTCCATTTTTTATTCATGGGGGTCATTCATTAATAGGAGGAGCGGATTAGCGCCCTTTCTTCCACGAGCCTTGGACAAGTTTGCAGCAAAAGCTTTGCGTGTGGGGCTATCAGATCCTTTAATTTCTTTTTCTTTGCTTAACCTCGGTTTGCCTTATGCTTGCTTGCTTGATTGCTTGCTTGCTTTGTGCCGAGCCATACTTGTTTGTGTGTATGCGTTTGTGTGACTGTTCGTCGTTTCTGTCGCAGTGAGGCAAACGTGGAGTTGCCGGTGGTGCTTGTATCGGCCTCGACCAAAATCGAGTTCGCCATGCCAATCGCCTGGATGGACGACCCGCCGCACGAAGGAGCCTTTAGCTACGAAGCAGATCGCGGTGGAGTTTATTGTGCCATGAAGATGGCCCTGCGAACCAAAATCCGAAACTCAAAGGCCGACAAGAAGTGGGATGTGTACCGCTACTACGTCGCGCGGTATCCTGGCAGTTGAGAATACGCCCCCTCACCTGGCTCATGGGTCAGGGGAGAGAAAACTGAATGTCCAATTCTGTCTAGCAACAGCTGAAAGTTGGGGCCTTTGCCCACATAGCTTCGGCAGGGTGTGTGGGGAGGGCTTCAGGGTTGCAAGCCAGACTGTAATACTGTAAGGTGACGCGCAGGCAAGGCAGTGAAGCGGCAGTGCTCATGAGAGTCTAGAATTGCTAGACTGTTGTTCGAGGGCGCAAACCACTACCACAAGCAAACGTCATGTCCCGATCTTTGTCCTAGAGCGGGAGCTTGCTTGTCACTGTATGCGTGCTACAGCTTTCTCCGCATATGCATGCATAGTTAAAGCGGCGCCAGACCGGTCCGCTTCGTTTCGCCGATCGCGCCCCGGAGCTGCAGAAGGGTATGCCACCAGGGCCCAGCCGGCAATGTGCGTCCAGGTATGACGCTCTATTGGGACGCCCGCCTCGGCCGCGCACGATGGAGGACTTCATGAAGGACTTTTCATTCTCGCTACTCGTATGTTCAAGCTTTCCTCCCGAGAAGGGCGCATGTTGCATTTGCTCAACACCTTAATTTGCCACCCAGTCTATTAAGAAATTCCAATTCTTTCATTAATTAGTCACAGTGCCGGAGATATATTCTCACCCAACTAGCAGTGCAATGGGGCTGGATTTCGGCCCTGGCAGCAAGGGCTAGATACATGGCGACCCCATCCCTCTTAAACTGTACGGTGCAACTTCCTCAACTCTTGCTAGGGAAAGGGAAACCCTGTATTTGCTTTTTGCCCAGCTGTTGAAGGTTATGCAATGTTATCCACCAATTGTACCCACTGTCGGGCCATCGGCTTTGGCAGGAATTCCAGTTGAAGAGCCTAAACTCTACGAAGGGCATGTCCCCTTTGCACTGCGCCATCCTGTCCGGTGACGTGGATATGGTCGCAAACCTGTGCAATGCTGGCCTGGATGTGAACAGGAGGGGTGCCAGAAATAAACTCCAGGCTTGGTGGCCTTTGCTTTTTCCTTCAAAACCATTGGCCATTCTTCTCAAGCGTCGTTTGTTTTAGCAAGCAAGCCGTTTCCCTGGGGTTTGAAATTAGCCTCTGAAAAGTTATGGGAAAGAGTGGACTACCACTAGGAATTCCAGCCTTTCATTCAGTGGTACGTGTTTCCCTTTGTTGTTGGGTGGCCTCCCTAGAATTGCCAATACAACACCAGCGTCACTGGACAACTGGGAATTGTCCCAGAAGGATTATTTGACATCGAAGGGTGCTGGAGAAGCTGGTTTGGCCAACGCATCGTCGCTTTGTTGAGCAAGACCTGTCCACGTCTGGGCTGAGAATAGCCAGGGAGGAACATCAAACAAACATCAAACGTAGATTTGCTCGCTGCTCAGGATCCCAAACATCAAACGCATGAAACTTCAAATAGATGTTCAGTGACATCCTGTTTCTGTCTATCGCTGCACCACACATTAAGTGGTGTGCTGCTGCCTTTTATTGCCAACAACTCATGTTTCAAGTTGCACCAGGGGATTTGACAGAGGGGTTTCAGGCTGCAGAGATTTGCAAAAGTAAGTCCTGAACCCTAGCATGATTCTGGGTCCACACAGTTTCGCTGGAAGGATGTCCACGTGGATCATACACAACGAGCCGAAGAACACTGAAGGAGACTTTTGCAACCCGCAACCCAGAACTGCCATGTCAAAATGCGTGCAGATACGACTTGTTGCTCATATTAGCGAAGCGGCCGGAGCAACAATACGCGGAACGCTACAGTCGCCTGAAAGCTTTCGCTGACACGGGAAAGCAATGTTGAACTAAGTGAGCCACGTGCAAAGCGACCAACAACATTGGAACATCTCCTCAAGCCAATCAGCGTGAGCTGACAAGTCTGCAGGAAACCAAAGGGAAAGGCAGGGGTCCACTAACTGCCAAATCCAGCATTGTGTTATTCAAGGGCAGGCGCAGGAACCCTCACTTCCCATCTGCAACCGTAGCTACGTTGCACATGATAGGTTGCAGATGCGGCGCGCGTGCTGCAAATGATGGTTTCAAGGTAACGGTAAAAAACAAGCACGCAGGTTCTGCGGTCCGTTGCCGGAAGCCTACATTGTCTCAGCTGTGCCGCCGCTGTCGCTCGCGGTCTGGATCAGCTGGCGCACGCCTGAAGTGGCCCGCACCTTGCTGGAGCACTCGGCGGATGTCAGGGCGACCGCTAGTGTTGGCTCCTTGCAGAATCGGGGGGTGGGCTTGTGTGTTCCAAAAGAGGCTGTAAACATGCTTGAGAACCCGTTAAGCCATCGGGTGGGCTGGGGGTCTCCTGGTTTGAATGTGGCCCAAGCCAGGGCGCTGGAGCTTGAAGTTTTGCCACGAAACTACAAACATTCTTTGGGTAATCGAATTTTCCCGGGCATAATGGCCAAAGATGGGCAAGTATTCTATTACCCCTTGGGGTTGGTGACGGCACACGATGCCTTTGAAAGAATTTTTTTTTGTGCGGGAAAAGGGCCCTACCAAACGCGCCTTATGTACTAATTAGGCCCTACATCATAGTCGGGGCCAGGGTTGGGCATCCGTGCTTATAAACACAGCCGCGTGGTCCCTGTGCCTGTTTAGAAGGATGTGCAAACAATAGTTGTTTAAACATGTTCGGGCAAGCGTCGGCCCAACCCCGGCGGGGGGGGGGGCATCAGATGATCCCTGTTGATACCGTCGCTCGCCGGCCGAGGAGAGAATGTGTTGGGATTTTGCCGTTCCCCCGCACTCGTGGAGCTTCTCCTCCAACGCCGGGCAGATGTGACATGGCAGGGTTCACGTGGAAAACGGCAAGCAATCACCTGGAATTGGGGGAGGCAACCTTATCGCTTTTTGCTGTTACCTTCAAGCATGTACCCCCCAGCATCAGCATGAAGCAACACATGCCGGGTGCGGGGAATAGGAATAACCAGGATTTCTTTTTGGGAGCCTCTAGTTTCCGGAAAGATGTTGCAAACAGGCCAGCTGTGCAGGTGAACATGAAGTGCTCGCTTCCTGCACTGACTGTGGCCTGCGCGATGGCATCGCCCACCTCTGTAATCGCGTCGATGCTGGAGCACAAGGCCTGGGCTTCCAGCAAAGAGGATCCACGCACTTGCTTAATTTGAAAGGGAGAGATTAGGCTGTCTCGGTTGTCATGGCAAGGGCCAACAATAATCTCAACTGGGCATGTGTCCAAACAGCCCCCACAAAAAGAGAAGAGCAAAATGCTGGTTTGCCTTTTGGCTCTTGAAGCAACCTGCCAAGGGTTGCTGAGAAGCACTCTCCCAATTGGTTGTCCCCTCTCCCACGGATGGAGAAGCGCCAAGCGGAAAATGCGGAGAGTGAGGCGCAGGTGAATCCTCCTGAAGGCGGCCCCTCGAGCAAGCACCCCTTGGCTGCCGTGGCATACCGGCCCCTTGGCGCAAGCGGGAAGGCTCCGGTCCATTACGAGCCATCCGGGCAAGTGAGAAGGAAAACCGCGCCCGACAAACGGGGGGGGGGGAAGAGTAGGAAGGGGGCGTCTAGGGGAGGGAAATTTCTTTAGGGTTCAGGGGTGAAACTAAACAATCATGTGTTCACTTCAGCAACGGGGTTTCTGGGAATGTTCCAAAATTTCTAACCATTTTTCACACTTTTGATTTAATACCAGTCCAAAATATTGACATTTCCAAGGTTTAGGTTTCGGGCCACTTTTCGGCTTTCTGGTGAGTAGAAGAATTAAATCATTTTACAATTAAATCATATCCATAAGCAAAATCAAATTTCAATGCGTACTAACTCTGGCAATGTTAGCCCCAACCAAGTCTATCATTACAAGTTGTGGATTGCTATTTCCCATGCTCTCTTTAGTGTCACCTACCATATTTTTTGAACTGAGCGACATAGTCCGTCTATACTTTTCACACTATACGGACAAGAATGATGTATACATTCATCAATGTCTTGAATGTCAGTATAATATTCAATCTTTGCTCCCATACACATATCAACTGATTTTTTTATCATTGTAGTTCATCAATTTTAACAATATCCGTGGTGGATTTGACACATATAAACATACTGTATCACCTTTTAACTTGTTATTGCATATCTCATGCTTGTACATCTCAACTGACCTTTCGGGATATTCACAGCCACCAATAACTTCAGTAATAATTGAAGGTTTCCATTTCCTTAGTAATTCTCTTAAGGTCTCACACTGTTTCAGTCTACGCCACCCTTCGCAACCGACAATGTAGGAAGTGATGATTGAATTCAAACCCTCAGGAAAGCCAGCCCAGTTTTCAACCGTAAAATTATTCTTTGTCAATTTACCCTCACTCATTTTCTCTTACTGTAAAAGGCATTTTCTCTTGGTGGATGTTGTTTGTTGAGGAACAAGGGTGTCAGGCTAATTTTAAATATCTTAACCTTATTGTTTAGCGTGAAGGGGAGGTTTAAGCATATGAAAATTGAAATATATGAATAAACAAAATCAAACTGATACGTGGCTTCTCTTATCCCAACCAGGTCCTTATTCCACCCCAGTAATGTTCAACAAGTGTAGGGAATGATAATATAGCCATTCCGTCATATTGTTCATTGTTATTAGTACCAAACTTGTGTTGAATGATTTCATCTCACTAGTTATGGCATCTCAGCATATCACACATTCCATCTTTTGAGTACAGATGCTCGCCACATTCTCGGAAAATGTCTTCATCTAAAACATTTTCATAAATCTTCTTCACTCTTCTATAATCACAACTTCTCAGAACAACAAAGCTACCAGACTTGTCCTTATTTTTGTTGCCTGCTCCATTTTCTCACTTAATATTATAAGGTGCTATTTCTTCAAGTAACTTGAGTTTTTGCAGGGTCGGTATTTTGGTTTTTGTAGGAACGGGGATCCCAGTTGGCGGAGCTATTCCACAATTGGCATTTTCTTCTGATGATGGTGAACTAACAGTATGCGTTGCAGAACTATTTACAGCTATAGGCGGGAAACTACGAACACTGGCGAAGTGTGTAAGACAACTTCCTCACTAACATTTGTGTTGAACCAGTTTATTACGGCGTTTGCTTTACCATAAGATGTTACTAAGGAGTTCACTGTCAAAATAGCTAATAACTCAGAATTTGGCATTGTAGCCAATGTAGTGTGGAATGTAAAATGTGCTACTACTTGTCCTTTACTAAATCCTGACCTCAACATAAATTCTGTAGCACTAATCATCATAAATAGCTTCTTTGTGTATTTTTCATCGTCCTCATCTTTTTGTCATCAGGTTCATCGTCATCATCAAATCATATGTAGATGCTAATGTGTCTGCTTCGGCCTTGTTCATCACTTTGCTTTCAAAACACTCTGGAGTCCCACCTAAAATCTGTGTCTTAGCAACAAAATTTTCAGTTTGGTCGCTTTATCATATGATCGGTCTGTTTGTGTTGCCTTGTTTTCTTTTGTTTAGCGTTTGTGTTGCCTTGTCTGACAGAATAATTTCTGCGTTCATATATCTTTCCTCATTTTTATATCTCGTGAAATTTGTTTCATCAAAGCCAAAACTATTGAACAAACCTTTCTTGTATGGCTTCAATGAAACTGATGTGTTTAGGTTGCTCGTCGTTGCTTGCTTAAGCAGTTCATCATAAGCAGGGCGTTTCCTTAACTCGTGTTTGAGATTGTTAGTCATGTAATATAGTTATTGGTAAATTATATAAGATGATGTAAGCTTTTGTTGCTTTACCCTTACCTTTTCCTTTCATCACCCCCCAGTCTTCCATTTCCCTTCTCAACAGTTCATCATTTACTTTTGTCGTCCATTTTCCCTTTGAATTAATTCTTCCACTACACGAATTAAATATTGTGTCTTGGATTGCTCTTTCCCCTTTCCTTTGGTTTTTAAACTGTCATACTTTCGTTGTTGTTCTGGTGTCAATTGAATGCCTTTTAAATGTACTTGCAAAAAGATATCAGCTGTGCTAATGTCTCTGTGCTTCCACCTGTCTACGTCTGCGTTATAGTCTATTGTCTCTCTTGCTTTTCTTGATTTAGGTGGTGCTTTCATGCTTTCAACCTCGTCCATTGTTTGTCTGCCTATGTTTTCATGTTCTCTTGTCATCAATCCGCTGTGTGCCCCTTGTATCCGTTTAAGTGCCTCATCCTCTATCATAGTTGGTTCTAGCGGCGTGAGGCTTCAGAGTCGCTAGGTTTTGCGGTTATCATTGACTCGATGCTTGGTCGTCTCTTCCCCTCTTGTCCTTCTAATTGTTTGTTCCTTCAATCGTCCAATTCATCCTTTGCCATATCAAAATGGGCAACGGTTTTAGGTCGTTCTAGTCACGAAAATAATATACGTTTTCGCCTATTACATCTCTTATATATTGTTTTTGCTAGTTCATTGTATGACGGTCTCAATCTTAATTGTAATTTTAGTGCTTTCATTTGTGTACGGATGTAACACTAATTAGAATATGAATTTGTTAATATAATTTCTTCATTCAGAGTCAGAAACCTTTCTTAATTGGTTGATATTGTTGTTCCTTCTTCGCCATCTCCGAATAGGATTTACCTGTTTCACTTGATGGGCGATGTCTTAATTTTTGAATTCCAACTTTTGTAATTCATTACAATACGCCTGGGCTTCATCTTGATATCTTCCGTCGGTGTTGAAATGTGGCGAAGTCTTTCTTCTCGTTATGAAATGCTAGTTGTTCTTTCATTTCTTTCAGATATGTATAACTTGGTTGATGTGCTTTGTTGTCCCCTTCGTAAAAGTAGTGGGTGTTTGTTTATCCTTCTTGTTAGGGCTTGTTCTGGGATTAGAGAATTTGGTGTTGGTAGTTTTCCTGCTCTGCTATTCTTTGTTATCTTGATTTTGTATTATGAACATCTGACTTGTTCATATATATATATATATGGATAATTCGGTTGTGATTTGTAAAACCAAACATTGTCATACAAATGTATTAACGTTATCTGATTTTTAAATCAAGCATTGTCATACTAATGTATTGACATTATCTTGTTTATTTTCCAACTTTTGTTTGAGATTAATGTAGCGACCCTTCGCAGTTTCAAACACTTTATTGGCAGTTGTTTCTAAATGTGTTCTTTACATGTCTTCAACTCTTCTTTCCATTTCTTGTTCATCCACTTTTGGAATATCACTTTCTTTCTGCTCTGTTACAAGCATCTTCTTTGAATTCCTTTGCTTGGGCTGGGTTGATGACCTTATTTCTTATGGCTTTATTTAAATCTATAACTTTGTTAGTGCCCTTCTTCACTCCTCGACAAGCGTGTTTGTACTCTAGTTGTAAGCAGCCAAAAAGTTCCACAAGTAGGACAGTTCGTTTTCTGCTTGTCTGTTTTTAACAGTAAATCCTTTTCAAAAATGTTAAACACATTATTTTCAGCCGGTTTTTTTATTCTTCAACTACTTCAGTATTTTCAACTGGTTTAACTTCATCAACTGCTTCATTATTCTCAACTGGCTTAACTTCTTCTACTGCTTGACTAGTAACATCTACCACCTCTATTTTACTCATATATGTGCATGCTTTTTTACTGATTGAAGGAGTAAGTCTCAGCAAATGTGAAAGTAAAATTGCTGCCCGCCCCATAAGCATCAACATAATTGCAATGTAAGCGTCTTAAGTGTCTAGAAGTCACATCATCGGCGTCATTCATGAAAACTTCATTATCGTGAATGACATTTCCAAACCCTGGGGGTATTGGAGTTTTCTTCGACACACGAGCAACTCCATAAGGTGCTAGTTGGTTTTCATTAGTTGAACTGCCGCTGGTAAAGCAACTGATTTTCATTGGCAATAAATTAACAATATCCCTAACAAAAGGGTCGGCGGAATAGTTGATTTTTCAACAGTATGTCCTAAGACATTGTTCTTGCCCATTGTATGACTCCTATCATAACCAACACTAAAACCATAGTTAGCTTGTACCTCTTTGTCCGTATGAATTATGCAAAAGTAAGCAACATAATTTCATGGTATAGTTGTAGTGCTTTTGTAACTACAAGTGGAATAACCACTGTTCCCAGTAGTTCCATTAGTAGCAGTATTCATCTCATTTTGTAATTCAATTGCGAATTCACTGCCTACATAAATACCTTTACCACGAGCAACAATGAAATAACAACTGGTGCTCCTCCTTTTGTTCCACCTGATGCTAAATATATTTTTCCATTTTCTGCAGCGGGATAGATAGTATTAGGCATTGTCATTTTGTGAAGATATAGTTTTGTATCTGTTCCTGTTTCTTGAGGCTTTGGGAAGCCAATGACGAAGTCAGAAGTGCTTAAACTTTCATTTGAATGCCTATGTCGTGTATCAATATGTCTTTTAAACTTGCAATATTTATGTTAATTAACTAGATGTTTTACGTCAATAGTATATGAAATATAAATACGATGTTTACGATGATAAACATCATATGAAGTTGTACGAACAACTTTTAAAAGAAGGAACATAAAAGATCATACCACTGTATCAAGGTCATAATGAAATGTACAGAAATTTTAATGAAACTCAGCAATAAAATATTTTAACCTGAGCATAATAAAAATAAATCTGAAGCAGGGGTTAAATACGGCTTGCAAAAATGGTAAGGGATATTGCTTAGATGGTAGTAAGCTATATGTGGCAGACATTTTTGTAGAAATTAACCGCAGTGCTAATTTTCAGAGTGGTAAAATATTACTAAATCATGTTAAGGTTTGATCTACTGAACAGGTAAACTGTTTATTTTCTTGTTCTTCCGATTTAGATATTGCAGGTTCTGACGCTCGTTATGTTTTACAACTGGATAGCTTGGCAGGACTAATTACAGGAAGTACAAACACAGCTAATTCAGTAACTACTATCAATAATTATCAGGATACATCATTAGGTCAAAAAGTAGATAAAGTAGATACTAACGCTCGATCAGTAACAGGTGCTATTCATTTCAGTGATAGTACAACTTTACATAGTGATTTCATCGTGCTTACTAGTGGAAGCATAATATGTAATAAATTTACAGCACACCCTCACCTAATTTGGGATTGCAAGTGACATTGCAAATCGTGAGTTCAACATGAATACAGATAGTAGAATATGGAAGAGTAGTGCAGGAGGCCAGTGGGAGACCCAAATAGGAGGTGCTAACGTTTGTCGTGTAGGGGTGCTGATAGACTTGGTTCAGGCGGTGCTGGTGTTGTTGATTGTAGGTCTTTTTTGCGCCGGACAAGCGAGATTTTGCTGATGCAGTCTAGTTTATCGGCACTGACAAGGCAGTAAGTTTTCATAACGGTTCATACGGTTCATATGTGAATTTTGCTGGTCATGGTTCAACACACAGGTGCACACCCGATGCAATAGAAGGTGTATCTATATATACGTGGCACGTAATCATTTTGTTGCTCTTAGAGTTGGTGGTGTTAGTAACGCAAGCACCCAGTATACAATGTGTGATGGGTTCGTGAATAAAGCGATTTTCTGTAAACCTGCTGATGTGTTAGGTAATATCAAGACAAATGCTGATGTTAATTGTGATGACGTTAATATTGGTACTGATGGTGAATTAACAATTGGTACAAACTGTGAGTTATACAGATATGTTAGTGCGCTTTCATCTTTTGATTCTCTCAATTAGGTTCAACCTTATACCGTTGGAGCAGTTAAAGTGTCTGCCGGATGGAATTCTAATGCAAGCGCAATAGACGCTATGGGAAATTTATTTGCTGTCGATGTGTATGTTAAAGCTGTGGTGGTGCGTTGAGAAGTATGCATATAGCGCTTCCTGGTGGTGTTCTCGTGACGGTTGATACTAATTTAGCAGTTCAACAAGCGTTTTTAGCAACTAATGCCATTCAATCATTTGGTTTAGCACCGTTTTGCTAGTTAGACTATATTTCCATGACTACAGATATATGAATGGGAGCAAGTGAAATTTCAGCTTGTTATGATGGAACAAATTTACGCACGATTGATGCTAAATTAGTACAACAAATACGGCATTTAGAGTAACTGATCATGCAACTGTATGCTTCAAACTATTATCTATTGATAACACTTATGGAACGACTGTAAATCCTCGAGGTTTTGCAAAGAATGCTTCATCACCATGGAATGAAATGCGACAGTTGCTGGAACGAAGAAACTGTTATGTAATACGCACGAACCAGCAACAGGAAGCACTATAGATTTACCAGCAACAACAGTATCCATTAATGTAACCTTTCAGGATTCATTTGACTCTCGTTTAAAACTTGACATAGACAATATCAAACCTAATTGTATGAATGTTATTAAGAAATTTAAGCCGAAGAAGTTTCAAAGACGCAGTAGAGACGATGTAAGGCTCCTATAGGTTATATTGCAAACAAAGTGTTCAAAGCAATTCCGAAAGAACTTGAGAATCTTGTTGTAAAGCTACAGAGTATTTAGGGTTGAATTACTTAGTTTTACTCTTGTTGGTTCATAAAGCAATAGTCGAGTTGAATTGATAGACTTGAAACAGGAATTACAGAGTTGAAAAGTAAAGCCTAAATAAAGATAATATGTGGTTTTTCAAAAAAGATATTGAGAATACACCTCTCTCCTCAGACTTCTGTGTGTTCTTCTTGGCACGGTTGCGCCTGCGCTCCTCGGCCTTGATGAGCTTGACCTTCATCTTCGCCGAGCTTGGAGAAGCCGTTGAAGCGGATTGTCAGGTAAGCAGAAGACGAAGCACCTGTTGGGCCGGCGTCAGGTGGGTTGTCGTCATCTCCTGACCACCACGCTTCTCTTGCTCAGCACCGCTCTTCTTGTCCTCATCTTCGGCGTCCTTCCCCTCTGTAGTGGAAGACTGGTTGCTCTCCTCGCCATCATCAGATGCAACCCCCCGCACCGTCCGAAGCACCCATCGCTTTGGAAAGCTTAGATGCAATGATTGATTCACAAGGAAGTCGCGACTGTTCGCTTGCTGCGGGCTGGATACAACGAACGTATCCATTTGATAGGAAAATACCACACGAAATCAATGTCAGCGTTCAGTATTGATTGATACGTGAGTGATTAACCACAACAGCGACCGTCAGTAAGAGTGTCAGGTGTGCATTTCAGATGGCGGGCGCGATGAAGGGCGAAAAGCAGAAGACCCGACCAACAGACCATAACACAGACCATGAAACAGACAATGCTTTAACATTTAACATGAACAAATTGGGTAAAAACTTGTTCAAGAAATTTTAGAAAAATCCAAGAAACCCCGACCCCCTACCTTACTATTATTTTGGGGAGGGGGGTGTCTCTGGAACGTATGTTGCGTTTTAAGGTTGGCGCAATACAGCATCTTAACATGCGTTTAGTGTTGTCAGTCAGCTTTTCGGGTGCTTCACAGTGCTTCCGGAAATGCGATCATGTCCGGCCGATGTGTTTGACTGGAAGCCGACAAAAAAAACGAGCGCAAATTCAGGGGTACCAATGCATTTGGTGGCCAACTGGGAGTGCTTTTCTTGGGCCTTCATGGCATGGTCGAGCTGGACGGCTCAGGTCGTCGGTGAGCACCAACACCTTAGAAGTGGCCTCCCTCTTGCTGGATGCCCAGGCAGACGTGAACATCCGATATCGCAGCTCCGGAAGGTGGCGGGCTGGAGCCTTGGCGCGTGCCTGAGGCACCACCTAAAACCCATCCTCGTTGAAGGTACGTGGGCCCTCTGCATTTCGTAAGATTGTTCAACTTGCCATATTTTGCTAAATTTCGGATGGCTGTGAAATCGTAGGTTGAGTTCGCCATCCACTTGCCACTTGTAGACTGGTCCAGGGCAAGGTTTTGTTTGGAGGAACCTGGGGGGGTTCGGTTTAAGTTTGCTCCCATTATTTTGGGAAGTGTCCGGACTCTATCAACCGATATGTCGTTAGTCCCTCAATCATTTCTTTGACTTGGATGCTGTTTTTCCTTGGAATCAGCAATCCAGCAAGGCGACATCTTGTTGATATTCTTTGTTGCTTGTTTGTTTGCAGAGGCATAACATGGTGCGAAGTAGATTTTGCCCATGCGCAGTGGTTTGGGGCTGCCTCACAGACCAAAACTTGGGCGGCCCTGCACACATGCTTGTCCTTTCCAAGCTGGAACCCAACTCCTTACCTGGCCAAGGAGAATTGATGTGCAGGAGCTTCTTGAGACTTCGGCGTGGTCCAACGGTGGCTCAGTTTCTTGCCGTCCCTTGGCAAGATATTTCCTGCTGGTTCTCAGTGAGGGGTAGACAGGGATGTTGGGAATGAATCTAGGGGACCGTTCCCTCATTCAGCAAGTTTCGACACTTTGCAATGCGAGCTATTGTGAGACTTGACCGGTGGCTCAACAGCTGCACGGCATTGCGTGTACATATATGTGTTTGTTGTCAGGGCCCTTTAATCATTGGTTTGGGGGCTCAAGTGTTGAGTTCGAGGGTTTGAAAACGGGCTGGCAACAAAAATCCGAAGTCTAAACATCCTGAACCTGCCGAACAACCGGTAGGGGGTCCACAACGAGGCTGATTTGCCAGGAAACTCTTTACAATGCAAGAGTAAAAGCCACCAAATGTTCCCAGTGGTTCACTCGAAATTATTTGCTGTCAATCTTGTGGGATTGGCCCTAAAACTTACTCTGGTTTTCCAAAACCCATGACAAGTCCTCGATGCTTTTTCGCCTTGACAAGAAGTTTAACTGGCCCCTCAGCCACTAGTCAGGCCTTGTGTTCCTGAGGTAGGATTTTCTGCTTTCCTTTTGAAGGAGACGGGACCGCAGGACTGGTCTACCACCCCCTTGGGATTCGCGTGCTTCTTCGAGTGCAATGAGCTGGTGGAGCTTCTGCTCACCGCGCAGGCCGCTGGCCTCGGACCGCAAAACGGTTTCATTTTAGGGCGTGCGAAAGATATGAAGCAGACACATACAATGGTTTTCGTGTATGCCAGTTGGGCCAAGATACTAAGCGCCTTTTGAGATACACAGACACCAGGCTTCCCAGGATCCATAAACCCTCTTCTTGATTCATAGGAGGCTTGCACTTTCGCGCGTTGCCCAACAAAAATCACTGCCTTTTGAGGGTCGACGGGACTACGCTTGCATTTGGGAGTCAAAGTCGTGCAGAAGGCAAAACCATTGTTCCATCTGGTGCTAGGAACCGCCGATGCCAAACACACCACCCCAAGCACACCTCCAAAAATAGTCTTTTTTAGTCTTTCCCAAAGCGGTGTGGGTGTTGTGAAATGTACTGACCCTCTTGAATTGGCTGTCCAGCTTTTGAAAAGAGAGGTTTCTGTATTTGGCTGCGAGGTGGCCCTTCGAACGCCTTGGCTATTGCCAAAAGATCACAGCAAGCTTCCTTACAGGAAACCAAACTGGTGTGGACCATGTGGGATGTTTGTCCGGATTGTGCAAGGCAAGCCCCGAGATCCCCAACGAGCGCGGGCGAACGCCAGTGGACCTGGCGAGATCGAAGTCGACGCTGGACCTCATCCATCATCGCCAAACCACGTTTTCCATCTGACGCGGACATTGCTAGCTTGGCATCCCGGCTGTGATTTCGAACGGATTATGATGTTATGGCGTGGCTTTGATGTGTGCGATTCATGATAGTGACATGCTCAAAGTTACCCCGTGAATTTCTGAATGGCTGCGGTTTTTGTTGGGCGCCATGAAAGTGACCATCCATTGGATCGCATTTTTCAACTTTGATTTTGAGATTTTTCTTGGATCAATGTTGCTGCACGGCGAATGTGAACCCAAGGCACCGCGCTGATCCCAAACGCTTACACGGTGGATGACATGTTGCCCCGAGTGTGGAACAAAAAGCCATCGCGATGGCAAGTGCGGAATTTTCATGAATTGGCAGAATTTGCAGTTTCCAGCTTTGTGTATGAGCAAGATGCCAAGCTGGCGTATGTCCCGCACCCCGAGATTTACGGAGCCCCAACTCAAAGCGACAAGATGCGACAGGTATTAAATTGGGCGTCGGCCCTTTGCAACCGTGCATTCTCGCTTTTGGCATAGGTGGGAAGAATGGAGCTTCTTGCGGGACAAGGCAGCGGGACAAGGCATTTTCACGCACCGGGACAATGCCAGCTTTGGCTTCTCCGGTCGCTTGCAAAAGGCGTACCAGAAAGTCGGAGCGGTTGTGTATCACCCCCGACTTTCAGGGCTCCCGTTTAAATACGGCGCAGAAATCGCGTGTGCAATTGTTCACTTCGGGAACCCATTGCCCCCACTATTTGCACAGAAGAAGCAGGGGCTTCCATGACAACCAGTGTTTGCGGAGCAGACACGAAAATTGATATCGACAAATCAGGGGTGGTTCCCTGTAGAGTTTAGTGAGAATGTCCCATGACAGGTTGTTGCAAGGAAGTTCCCTTAATTTGTGCGCTTGAACTTTACCAGCAATCCCCTGAGTGGATTGGAGGAAGTATGGTCGGAGTGTACAGCCAAATCGGGGGATCCCGGATTTAGCGAAGCCTCAATTTTCAAGGTTATGAGCTTGTGACCAATGCTTCACAGCGGCGGGCATGGCCGATTACCAACATTTCGTCAGCCTATCCAAGCACTTTACTTTACAAAATTAACCTAGACTCAAACACGCTACTACATATACTGTGTGTGGCGAGACTTTAAAAGACGATTGGAGATGCGTGACAAGCCAACTTTTCGCACATGCGAAGAACGCTGCTTTGTCGGCACCAGACCTTGCTTGCCCAGCTTGAGCGTGAAGCTTTATTTAGGGGTCTTTGCAATGTCAAAGGATCCGCTAGCAGCCAAGGGAGGGAAGAAGGCTTCGGCCACATCAACTGGGATTCCACGCGGTCTTTGTCGTTTTCTCACACTTGGACGCACTTGGGGCTCCGGTCTTATTCTGGCTCCTTTGGTCTCCTTTCGGCTTCCCATGGGGCAGCGTTTGGTTTGATGATTGAATCTTCAAAGTTTCGAAGACCGAGTGACAATGCTTAATTGCCGCATGTGTTTTTGCTTTCCTGCAACTATGGAAGTGGAACCGGGCCCTCTTGACTTTCTGTAGTCTTCCAAAATTATCCGGATGCTTTCTAGAATTGCTGGGAGGGCATATTTCAGGCACTGTTAAAACCGCATCCCGGATGTGGCCTTGGCTGAAAGGCTCACAGGTTGAGCCCGCGATTTGACCGTTTCTTCTTCTTGCTGACAGAAAGCCTTCCAATGACTTTGCCTTCTGCTGTGTCCAGGGGCGCTCCGAGCTGGCCATCTCAGCGCGTGTAATGTGCAGAAAGTGCAAATCCAGAAGCGAACAAGGAAGGCATGTGGTCGCGAGCAGACATCAACAAGACCTCTCTCTGGCTACCGAAGAAACAGGTCACTGGAATACACAGGAACAAAATCCGAAGCAGATTCCGGCGCTCACTGGACGTCGCCATCCAGCAGCGGAAGGACACCTGCGACCCCCGTCTCTGTCATGGGCACCGGAGTGGCTGGCAAGATGCCAAGGACCTGCTGTCAACTGGCAGCGTGACATGGAGGCTTTTGGAGCGGGGCCGTCCTTGTTAGGCGGCCAGAGAACGGGAGATCTGCGAGCCTTGTGCCAAGCAAGCCAACACAAACAAGATCGGAGATTTTCTGGCCTCGTGAACAAAACCAAGCCCTGTCCGGCGGGGTTAGGGTTGGTTTAGGGCTGGATAAAGGTGGGCGTAGATTGGTTTAGGACTTTGATTTAGGGTTGGTGTGGGGTTGGTTTAGGGCTGGTTTAGGGTTGATCTAGAGCTGGTGTAGTTTTGGTTAGGGTGGTTAAGGGCTGGTGTTGGGCTGGCTTATGGTTTCAGAGTACTCCAAGCTAACCCTAAACAAAACCTAAGTCAACAATAAACCAGCCCTAAACTACCCGAAGCCACCCTAAGCCAACCCTAAACCAACCCGACAACCCGAAACCAACCCTACCAACCCAAACCAACCCTAAACCAACATGACCGTCGCCCAGCCCCTAAACCACCCTAAACCAACCCTAAACCAACCCTAAGCCAACCCCAAACCAGCCCTACACCAGCCCTAAACCAACCCGAATCCTAAACCAACCCTACGTCTTTGAACAAGTGAACCCTTTACGGACTTTGCTGCGTTTTGGAAACCCGCTTCTTCGAAAAGGTAAGCCTTTTGCAGCTTTTTTGGGTCCGGACCACCACGCCGAACCTAGGAAAAAAGGCCGCGCCGAACCTAGGAGAAAAATTAACCCTTCCGCCTCTTGCCAAAAGGGGGTCAACATCCCTATCAAGGGATGCTACGTGCGTTGACCCTCCAGGTGGATAGCAGGGTGTCATGCAGACTGGCTTGCCCATGATTATTTCTGAACTTATCTCATATGGATCTTAAAGAGCTATAGAAGATTGATTGCCACTTGCCTGTTTTAAGGGTACCTTTTTGTTTGTTTGTTCGGCATTTGTGGGAGTTTTCGGCTCGAGTTGCCCCGAGCCTCATGTTAAGACAGGTGGGTTAAGATGGGTACCAGTTGAAGAATGTCCATGGTGTTACAACCATTGAAGCGCCCAGCCCTTCCAGCCATGGCCAATCCATCTTGGCTGCCGTCATGTTTTGGTGCACCGATGTGGGTGGTGAAAGTGTCTGACTTCCTGAATTTCGAGTCTCGGCAAAGATGAGCCTGCATGGCTTACTCCCAGTTCCTGGGCTTGAGCTTTTTTAGGCAGACCATTTCATGAGATCTTTTCGGGCCAATCCCAGGAAGTGAGACAATTCTCGGGGCGAATCGTCGGCAAAAATAAAGGTATGCAGGATCCGCCACGACCACCGCTGGCCGCGTTGATTCGAGTTTACTTGGTGCCCTGCCAGGTTTTCAATCAACTGTTGCAGATCATGACAAAGCGGCCAATCTCTCTTAGGTGAAGACGGAAGCATCCCGGTACGTATTTTAGTGGACTTTTCTTTGTCCTGAACATCGGAAGCTTGACAAGGTTGGTTTTCCATGCGAAGGGGGTGCTTCCCTTCCAAATGGTCGGCTTGAAGTAATCGAAGACGCTGTCTGACACGCATGTGTGTGTGTGTGTGCGGAGTCATTCTCATATTCCCTACAAGCAACTGTTTGTCATGACCATCCACCAAGTGGTGCAAAATGGTGTTGACCGCTACAGCATGGGCCTTCTTGGACCAAATTTGGACAACACTTCCACTGGCTCGAACGGTAGGACAGGCACTAAAAGGGTAGGCGAATCTTCGCCAAATTGGAGAGTGGGAGTGCGCCCACCAAGTAAAAGGCAAAGTGGATGGAATCCACACCACGTAAGGTGAGGGGCACTTCAACACCGTTTTCCCATTGTACTATCCATCCGTCGCTTATTTTGACCGCCTCGAGTGGGCCATCCGCAGGAGGCCGTGCCCTGCCACGAGGAGCTGCAGCGCAGAGGCTTGCTGATCCGCCGCGAGGCAAGAGAGCTTTTGATTTGTTTAACGAGTCTGCCTTCAAGGGCATTGCCTTCCAGGATGTTTTAGGGTGCCCCCTTAATGTTTGCATGTGTGGGTGGTACTTGCTCGCTTTCGTGGTGAATCGCAGGGTCAAGGGATTATTATGGTGCTTCAAAACTGGTGCTCTTTTGTGGAAATTCATTGGAACAAAAAACATGAAAGAAACAGGGGCAGGCGCCTGTCTCGGTTCTTCTTGTTGTGTTGGTTTGGTTTGGTTTGGTTTGGTTTGGTTTGGTTGGTTGGTTGGTTGGTTGGTTAGTTGGTTGCTTCGTTGGTTCGTTGATGTTCGTTGGTTCGTTTTGGCAGGGTATGGGGGCCGGGGCCATCAAAGTCGGAGACGCTGGCTGGTGGTTTCTGTTTAACATGCCACGGGATGACTTTTGTTGATGGCAAGATGGGCCAGTCACAGGAAAAAGTGCTGGCCTGATTGCTCTTCGCTGGCCTCTTCTGAGTATTGGGCTTAGCCTGGAAAATCGGCTTTGGTGTTGGCCTTCATGTTGTTGAATTTGGCCAGTGCGGGGGAACCCCTTGGGAGTCTATGACCCTACACTGGCAAAAGTTTCGCTTCTGTGAGTTCAGAAAGACGACACGCCTTCCGCTAGACTTTTACCGAGAAGACTTACGCAGGTTCGGGCGGTCAATGTTGGACGCGGGAAGCCTTTTACTGATATACAGTACTCGTAAAGGTGTAGTGAGTGACCGCCCCACGCCTCATGCGGATCGCACTTGTTATTTCGACCCGCGGTTGAAGCATCAACTTTCGTTAACTGAAATATAATATTTTGGGTGTGGCAAAGCTTCAAAACGTGCGATTTCTCCGGCGTTTTAGAGGGGACAGTTTTCCCTGCGTGCTGAGTAGCCCAGAAGTTTAGTGTACCCAACGGAATCCAGGAAGGGATGGAAACAGCTGGATTTTTCCAGAACCGAACCCTGTGCGTATTCAGCACCAGCGCACGCTGCAGGAGGGCTTCTTCTGCATCTTCGTGTCCCATCAGTGGCTGAGCGTGAGCCATCCGGATCCCAAGGGCGAGCAGCTGCCAGTCCTGCAGCGCGCCTTGCGCCATCTCTTGGGAGGCCAAGGATTGCGGGCCTTCGCGGGCTTGAAGCGGGGGCCCTTTTTGTTTCCCTTCACAGCGGAAGAGGGCACCAAGCCGAAACATCGCCCAACATGAACATGAGCAGGGGATAGTCCCAATTAGAGACACATGCGGAAGTCCGTCCTTTGGGTAGCGCTCGCTTCGCGCTGCCTGCCTCGGTCAGGGTTCTTGCAACCCTTCAGAGAGGATATTTTTGGGTTTGGCTGTGACTCACAGGCGAAACGGGGGGGCCGGTCGTTGTCCAGCGCTCAGCGTTCACCTTGGAACGGGGTCAAAGTGAAAGGCGGCTTTTTGAAGCCCAGCTTCCTTTCTGAGCCAGCCGCTACTCAAAGCACCTTGTGTTTCGCATGGGCCGCTGGGCAGGTATGCCAAGCCGCTGAGTTGCAACGTCAATTTCCCAAATAGTGTTTACACCAACAGGTTCTTACGGTAAGAGTTAAGCGGAAAGAGTTAAGACTGGGTTAGATGGAGGGTTCGCGCTCAAAGTGTGGGCCCTGTTTTTTAAAAGTCGTCTTCGATGCGAAAGTCTTGCACGAAATGTGGGTTCGCGCGGGCTCCGTGCTCATTCTCGGTTTTTGCTGGCAGGGGCGGCGCATGCAGTAAACGTACGTGCTATGTGTTTTTTCAGCAAGCCTGCCGCGAAACGTGCTTTTCTTGCAATTCTAAGGAAGCGCCAAACGCGTTTTGTTGAGACCAAAGCGCGTTTTTGATGGCAGGGCCGCTGTGCGGTGGATGTCT